ACCTTGAGCATTATGGCAACCTGCATACCAGGACTGGCCAAAGTGTTATCAACTTTGTTCCTGTGAAATTGCGTTGTAGTCCTTACAAAACTGCAGTTTTCCTCAACAGAAAAATGACTCTAAAATTCTGTCCCACTAAACCAGAACAATGCTAAGCTACATGCAGTTGGGCTTAGGGGTGCTGTTGGAGGCTTCATGAATAAAAATGGATATGATTATATAGAATTGTATAATTTAGAATCACCACCTTAAGAATTCTGTAATTTAGAAAGACCAACTTAAGATGACATAGGTATAAAGAAAGAGAAAGTATGGCGATGCGGCAAGAGAATGACCCAGAAGTAAACCAACCTGAACCGGATGTGGGCAGTGACACGTAAGATAGTAACCAATCATGTATTAGCTTAGACAATATGGACACATATATGTTACCAATAGAAATGCTTATGTAGTGTGACTAAGGGATTTTGGACTATAAAAGCACAGTTTCTGATAAAATAAAGGTCTTCGATTTATAACTCTTATAGAGTCATCTCGGAGTCCTGTGGTCATCTTGCAGGGTGCCAGAGAGATTTCAGGTACCATACAGTCCCAAGGACTGCAGGATAAGACCAAGCATAGAAACACCTGCCCTGGAAGTAAATTTGGTGACTGCTTCTCTGCAGGTGGCAACAACAAGTGCCAGAGCCCAGCATCATAATGGCATCCTGCCCTCCCCAGTCATGTTCACTTAGCCTGTGAGATGGAGGTGCAGCAGCTGTATCGCTGCCTGTAGGGGCACCATGATGGGACCTGTTACCCTTTGGACTCTGTAGTCCATACCATTGCCCCCAGAAAAATCCTCTGAGTAATTCTGTGTGAAAACCTAATGAAAAGAGCCCTAGTAGCTGGCTGGTGTTAGGAAAAAATAATAGCCTTTTCCTCCCAGGGCACCCTGCCTGGAACACTCCCCCCACTGAACCTGTCTGCACCTAGGGCTTGTGTACAGGGAGGATGGCTTGGGATGATGTGTAGATGGACAGACCATTGCTCTGGGGCTGTAACTGCAGCATAGGATACTTCTGCAAGAGACAGCGAAAGTAGGATGAGTGGTGACCACAAGGACAAGGCGGGAGGTCATGTCAATCCCAACCCATCCCATCCCATGGCAAGCCACCTCGAGCAAAGCAAGCCATCCCAAACTTTCAGCCCTCTCTGCTAGCATGTCGAGATGCCTTCTGATTACGGGGGCCCCATCAATGTAGTAGTCCATCCCTCAGGTAGTAGTGGTGCCCAGAGCAGGGACTGTAGTACCCCTGGAAGGGTCCCCTCCCCATCACATTGCACACAGGCTGCAGGGACAGTGGTGAGAGCTGCAACAGCCTGCGCAGCATATTGGCAGCCTCCTCCCTCTGCAAGCAGAGGAGTGGCAAGGGTAAGGATGAGAAGAAGCAACCAGTCCATCGCCTGGACAGCCGCTGGCACAGCACCGGCACAACTACAGCCAAAGCACAGGGGCAGGACAAGGGTAGTTACTAGATTGATAGAGGCAGGTAGGTTTTGGGTGGCATGGCACAGGTATGCTGTGCAGGAAGGTCTCCATCCTCGTCTCTTGCAAGGAGCAATGGCAAACCTTTGCAGGAGTGCCATACTTTTGCTGTGGAGCCTGAGGTGCCAGTGGCTCTGGTTTGGGGGCAGGAGGGACAAGACCCTACCTTGGGCAGAAGAGGGATGTAGAAGTGCTTATTCCAGGCTGTGCTGTTGTAAGGACTCATTCTCCAGGTGATATATTTGTCCTCTGACAAAAACTGTGTTGTACTTCTCTGCAATACAAAAGTGACAGGCAGGTGTGTCCTGTGGTGCCAGGGACGCGGGGGGGAACAGCTGGAGCATCTCTGTTCCCCCTCTCCCTGAAACATAACATCATGGAGCCAGAGGGCATGTCAGAGGTGCTGCTCCTAGAGTCCTTGTTAAGGGTCTGTGATGGAGGTGACACCCACCACTTCCAGCCCTGCCCTCACAGTCTTGGTCTCTGGAGGCTATGGTGTGCCAGAAGGGTGTTCCCCAGGCAACATCTACAACCAGGGGGTATTTAGGGGCCACTGGGGGAGCGAGCCCTGGGGACCTGCAGACATCCCTGGAACTGAGACAGTCTCAGTGCGGGGATGGGGACAAGCGGCTGTGGCAAAGTCATGAGTGCAGATGCTGAGGGAGGATCTCTTCACCACTGGGGGGAGTAACACAGATGCAAAATGGGGGGTGAACAGAGCCACTCCTAGTACCCTCAGCCCCCCTATCCCCATGGCCCGGGGGGATGTGCCCTGTGTGATGCTGGAGGGGGACAGCTGGGACCTCAGTGGTACCTTCGAACCTGGCCAGCCAGCAGGGGTCAATGGCATT